AATCAAGCATTCACAAGAAAGCACTACTCAAAAATTAGGCCTAAATAGCAAGTATCACACCACTTAAAAGGGTTTTTTCTTTTCTCTCAAAAAAATTAAAACAAAACTTATTCCTAAAAAATAAAAGACACTCGGTTCAAAGGGACAATCCTCGGGAAAAGAATGAAAACAAAAGCCAAAGAACCCATCCTAAAAAAGAAAAGACTCAATAAAACAATAAAAACTAGGAATTCATTCCTCCACCCGACACTTAAAAATATGTTATGTCCCCAAAGCATCAAATAAAATTTAAAACAAGGGTTAGGAAAACTCTCTGAGGCCTTTAGGCCTAGTAGTAGCATGTTCTCTTAATTTTTATCAAGGGTCGTCACCCCACACTTAAGCTCAAACGTGCTCCTAGCTCCAAATTTTGGATACTCAGACTTCTCCAAAACCTGTAAAAACAACACAAAAAAATGACACTAAAAAAATAAAAAAAATAAGAAGTTACACTATAAATTGGGTTGCCTCCCAATAAACGCCTAATTTAACGTCGCGGCACGACACAAGTAAGTTCACCACTTTTCTTTCCACTTTGAACTTATAAATTTTACCACTAACTTTGCATCAATTTTTCTGCTCCTCTCTAGGGGTGGTGGTATAAAGATAAAGGAAACCAAGTAATATATGTCGCATCTTGCACTTCTTGGCCCTTAGGTGAGGAATGTCGTTTTGTCTACGTGGACTAAAAAACTTTAGAATGTAGGGGCCTTGTTCCTCATCTATACAATCATCCATTAGTTCAGATTTTATAGAAAAGGTTTTGAATGAGATTCAAGTTGCCTCAACTCCAAAGCAACATTTTTTACAACATTCTCACTTTTGTACTCTTTCTCAACATTGATATTAAGGAATAAAGTATAGTTGAATGGTTGGAATTCCTCTTTTTGCTCCACTAGTTGGTCATCATCCACGACAATTGGTAATTGGGCTTCAGACGCCTCAATCTTTTTGTTCAAGTGAGCCTCTAAGTCATGAATATCTTAATCAAATTGATTTATTTCTTATGTGATCTCAACTCTTCCTTCAATTAGTTGGGTTGTCCTGTATGTCAGACCATCACTAATAGACTCTTGAAACTTTAGAAGTTGAGTTTGTTCTCTTAGCCAAGATTGACTCACTATCTCTGTTTCTCTATAACTTTCTCCTTGTTGGTGGGCTTAAATCTCTGCTAATTCAGCTTGGACTATAATTTCTAATTGAATAGCATCAAGCTTATCTAGTAATTTCATGAATTTTTTGTGCTCTTCCGTGCACTCAAAGAATTGTTCGGTGATTTTTTAATTAACCTTGTCCAACATGTTCGTACATTCCATAAGTGAATTCACATTGCGCACCTCTTATTTTGCATTCTCCACTTCATCGCCCCTACCAACGTTACAAATAGCAGAAGAATCATAATAGGGGTTTGGGGGAAGGGAATGAGATTTAGGACAACCATTCCAACCACTTATATGACATAAAGGACATTCATCACCCAACCACGATTTATCCCAAGCATCCATATCAATAAGAGTACCAAATTATTCAAATAATAATAATAATTAATTGTTTAAAAAACTAATTAAAAAAATAGAAATAAATAAATAAAAAGAAAAAGCACAACCTAGAAGAATAGTTAATTTCTAAGTCCCCAGCAGCGGCGCCAAAAACTTGTTGCTTCCAATTGCACACACAAGTGTACGTGGTCATGCAAGTAATATAGTGGCTCTTAAAAGAACTAGATTATCGAACCCAAAGGACTTGTCAATTAACTATTTTTACTAAATTATACTAGTCTAATTATTTATTTAAGAGTATCAAAAGTGCTTTATTTCTATTTATAAAGAAAAGAATGCAGGAATTAAATAATAAGATTACTTACAATTGTTGGAAAATTTCAGGGCTGCAATATGCATTGGATCTCATGTGTCATATTCTTGGCTTAAAACTAATTTTAGTTGTCAAGTTACTGGTTTACAGGGCTAATTGTATGAGTCGGGTATCAAACCTCTAGTCGCCTACTCCAGTTAGCTGTCTAATTACATTGTTGAGCAGGGATAAATAGGCATAACTGGCGAGCATTTATATTTCATCATGTTTCGTAACCAAGCAAGTTGTTCGTCCGGACATCACTCCTAAACACAAATCACCTCAACTAAATGGATCGATTGAGCTCTCTATATTATCTGGTCCATCTAACCCCTTCTCTCTCGATTTTAATATTAGACAATATATTTATCTCTAGATGGCCAGTCAAGAAATACTAAAATAAGAATATAAAAGTTTTATAATGACAACGAAGAATTAATTCATAAATCTTAAATAATCAACATTCAATCCATAGCTACAACTCCAGAACTAGGGCGTTTAGCCACTAATCTCTAAGAAAAGAACCCTAAAAAGTATTGACAACTTTATACTTGATGCCCTATGATTGATCTCCCCTAAAAATTATTCTTATGGACTATTTATAGATGTAGAAAACTCTGAATAAAATAATTGAGTCCAAAACAAATTAGGAATTCAAAACCAAAACAGATCGGAATTGTTGTATGCGTGAAACTTTGTCCGTTTGATGCTAGACGCACTGATGCACTCAAAGTCTGCCACGTGGCAACTTATTCTTTCAATTTCACTGAATGCTTCACTTTTCCTTATACATTCTTATATTAAATTTATTCCATTAAGTTATTTGCTTGATTTTCTTCTTCAACCTTCCATCTTTAATTCGTTTTAGCTTCAAACTTCTTCATTTTTCTACTAATTTAATCCTACAAATAAAATACACTATTTAGCACAATCCATAAAATTTGTGCTAAAAAAAGATAAATATAAATAATAAATATGAGACAAATAATGATAAGAAAAAATATTTTTGACCTCACATCAGAAAGATCAAGAATGGGCTTATACAGACAGAATACATCAATACAAAGGAACAACTGGCAGATCTTCTCACCAAGGGATTAGGAGCCTCTCAACATCATATGTTACTAGACAAGCTTGGAGTCTTCAATGTTTACACAAAGTCCAGCTTGAGGCGGAGTATTGGAGTCACGCAATAAGAATGTCAAAAATACAGTTATAACAGTTAGCAGTCGGTTAGGAGTCAGAACAGTTGTTAGGCTGATTGTTAAGTAGTTACAACTAGCAACGTGGCGGAGTCAGGATTTTCAATAAGGGGGTTCAAAATCTGTAGAAATAGACACACGAAGTAGCCGAAGGGGGTTCGACATCTACTATATATACATAAAAAAATATTTTAACCATGTATAATTAATATAATTTTCCGCCGAAGGGGGTTCGGATGAACCCCCTTAGTACAAGGTGGCTTCGCCCTTGACTGGTTGTAGCTACAAAGTGTGAAGTTGTACATCAATGTAATTCCTATAAATAGGAAATGTAAACGTGATCAAAGTAAGTATCAATAATATCTCTTCTCTTCTTCTTCTAGATTCTTCCATTTTAGATAGCTCTCTCTCAAACAGAGTTGCAGAGATCTGCAACAACGGAGCTTTACTCCATGATTCTATGAAATCTATTAGGATCAACTTTTGCGTATACTTGTCACCTCCTACTAGCAACATGTATCAGGTAACTGTATCCACCAAGGCTATGATAGATGGTCATAATCAACTACTGTTTTTTGTCTACCTTAGATCTCATGGCTCTCAACTACGGAGAATTTTCAAATAGATACAACTTTCTAGTTTTGTGTTTTTCCATTTTCCTTTGATTATTGAAATTGAGATACTCATTTGAAGTCAAATTCAGAGAGCTACCGACTTATTTCACAAAATTTTATTCACACTTCAAGCCAAATTTAGATTATTCTTAATTTTTTCAACTCCAAATTTTGTATATATACTTAGTATACAATTGTTGTAACCAATCATACTCGTCATTCATGTGTTGTCGCATCATGTGTCTATCTAGACGAGACCCATTTTGCTCCATACAATTATAGTTAATTATATAGTTGAAATATTAAGAAACTTGTAGTTAAATTTTATAAACGTTATAGGAAGTACTTAAAATCTCCTTAATTACCCTTAATGTGTCAAAGGATCTCCAAACGTTACAGAAAGTAATTAAAATCTCCTTGCCCCCACTATTAAAATCTCCTTACATACAATATGTCAAAAGGATCTCCAATAAATATTCAAGATTAGGATATCTAATCAACCCATAAAATCAAGAAGCTTATACATTAATCAATTTTATAAACGTTATAGGAAAGTACTTAAAATTTTCTAAAACTCTATATGTCAAACGTTACAGGAAGTACTTAAAATCTTCTTACACCCAATATGTCAAAAGATCTCCAATAAATATTCAAAATTAGAAAAGCTAATCAACCCATAAAATAAGCACCAAAATAGCGCAGAAATTAATGACTTATAAATCAAAACCTCCACTTATACCACTTCACTTATATAGAAAAAGCACCCTCCCACAAAAAGAAAAAAAAACTGACTATTACACTAAGGATGTGTTTGATAAGAGAAAAATATTTTTATATTATTTAATTGGTTAAAATGCTTTGAAAAATATTTTGAATAAAAAAACAAACTTTTTATTAATAAGAATAATGATTTCCTCATTAAAAAATATTTCAAGTTCATTGTCTTCTCCCATCTATATAACACCCCTGATAATTCCATGTTCGCCACCCACGAACCACCCCCTTAATATCCTACGAACTTAAATATTAATGTTCTAAGATAATATATTTTTATTTACTTACCATTTTTTCAAGAAAATATTACCAAAAAACACACCGTAAATCTTTCTTTTCTTTTTTTTTTTGCAAAACAATTACCCTAAATCCACTGCTACAAAACTTCTTTTTCTTAACTCCACAAAAATGGGTCCACGCCATCAATATTACACGTGTCAAAATCTATATGGGTCGCACATATCCATTTAGTAAAAAAGAATTGATTTTATTACCACTTTTTCATGACCCAGTTTTCCAAACTTGCCGATGAAGAAGATGAAATCAGAATCGTTGACTTTATTACTAGTCAACCTCGCCGGAATAATGGAACGCGCCGACGAGTCGTTATTGCCCGGAGTTTACAAAGAAGTTGGTAAAGCTTTGCATACTGATCCTACTGGACTTGGTTCTCTCACTCTTTTTAGATCTATAGTTCAATGTCTTTGTTACCCTCTTGCTGCTTATCTCTCCGGCCGTCAAAATCGAACTCATGTTATTGCTCTTGGTGCTTTTCTCTGGTCTGCTGCTACCTTTCTTGTAGCCATTTCTTCCACTTTTACTCAGGTTAAATTACTCTCTCTTCATCTATTCTACATTTGTATAATATGTCATTTCATATTATGGTATTAAGTATGTTATGTAGAAAGTAGAAATTAAAGAATTACTAAAAACATTAAAGGATCGTTCTTTTTTAAACGGATTAAAAAGGGAATTATGTCAAATAAATTGAAACGGACGGAGTACGAAACTTAATATTAGGGGGTATGTATAAAGTTTAGTTCTTGGTGTCCCCTGTTTTTGTTAGGATCCAGGAGACAAAGTTATTGAATGAGAAAGATTGCACCTTTAATTGGAAATTGGAATTAAGAATTTGTTAATATGTGATTTTGAATTTTTTTTCAACCATTCTTAGTTATCAAGTCAAATTTCGGATTGCCATGAAAATTTCACTTTATCCCGGAGTTGAACTTCAGTTCAGCTCTGATGGGGCAAACAGAGTTTGATAATGTAAAGAAAACAATTCCCTTAGTTTCTATTTATGTAATCCGGTGTCATTTTAAGTCAGTTTTGAACTTGGAAGTTCAAAGTAAATTTGAACCCCGTGAACCAGCGAGCAACCTCTTGTCTTATGTTTAGGAGATTCAAAATCTATATATATATATATATATATAGTAGAATTTACCTTGTTGAGGGGTTTCAGGTGAACTGAACACCCTATAACTGCACCTGTTTGGCATGTTTAAGACCACAAATTTCAAAAGTGTTTTAGCAGCACAAATAATATGACATGTTTAAAATCACATGTTTTAGGGGTAAGTCTTTCTTTCTTAAACTTTGTCTTCACCAAACGAGTTCACGTCAAATGAAACACATGGAGTATTAATCTTTTTGTTCTAGATTATAAAGGAAATTACTGTCTTGTTTGCCTTTGAAGTCTTAAATAAAGGAATTTCCTGGTTCTTTCAGTCTGCAAAATTCTTACAATTTGACTGTGCTTTTAAGATGTTTCAGAATGATAATATTCTTCACTTTAGGTTTTTCAATTATTGATTGGCATTTAATAAGAGAAGCATCATATATCTTGTTTGAAATAAGGTCTATGATTACTGTTTAGCAAAACTCACATTCTTCAATAGGTTGCCATTTCCAGAGGTTTGAATGGAATAGGACTCGCGATAGTCGGACCAGCAATCCAATCTCTAGTAGCTGATTCAACAGATGAAAGCAACCGCGGTATAGCTTTTGGTTGGCTACAGTTAACAGGGAACTTTGGCTCTATCCTTGGCGGGCTTATATCGGTTTTACTAGCTGAAACATCATTCATGGGAATCGCTGGCTGGAGAATCTCCTTCCATCTTGTAGGTTTTATTAGTGTTGTAGTTGGTATATTGGTGCATCTTTTCGCCAAAGATACTCGCTTTATTGACAATTATGGCTATGTAAAAGAGCAACCACCCCAAAAACCATTTAGAGAAGAAGTAAGGGAGTTGCTAAAAGAAGCAAGAGCAGTTGTGAAAGTACCTTCTTTTCAAATACTTGTTGCTCAGGGAGTGTCGGGGTCGTTCCCTTGGTCATCGTTGTCATTTACACCTATGTGGTTGGAGCTTATTGGATTCTCCCACAAGACAACAGCATTACTCTTGACGTTGTTTAATGTTGCACTCTCAATTGGTGGATTGTTTGGAGGAAAAATGGGAGATGTCCTTGCAAAACACTTGCCGAATTCTGGTAGAATAATTCTATCTCAGATAAGTTCTGGCTCAGCGATTCCTTTGGCTGCAATTTTGCTTCTCGGATTGCCTGATGATCCTTCCACAGCTGCAATCCATGGTTTAGTCTTGTTCATCATGGGATTAACAATATCTTGGAATGGTCCAGCAACAAACAAGTATGTTTCCTTTGAACTACTATATCATTCATCTTTATCTGGATTTTCTTGCATATATCCTTCTGTCTTTAACTTAACCAACAACAGAAAAGCTAAACCGTAAAATAGAAGGACCATGTAATCAAGAATTACGAAACATAATCTGTTTCATGCTTTAGTTCCAAGGAAGTTTTCATGTCCAAATGGAATAGCTGACACACAAGCGACATGGGATTTTTCTGTTTCCTTAGCGTTGCCGCTTGTTTGCTAATTTTACTTGTTTCTTCATATCAAGTAATCTCTAATTTTGCTCCATTTATGAAAATCTCATTCAAGTAAGGGTCATATGTTGCTGGTTGATTCACTTAAAATATTCACAACATGACATGTTTGCAGTCCAATTTTTGCGGAGATAGTTCCTGAGAGAGCTCGAACAAGCATCTATGCTCTGGATCGATCATTTGAGTCTATACTGGCATCATTTGCTCCTCCAGTGGTTGGTATTTTGGCTCAACACGTTTATGGTTTTAAACCAATCCCTAAAGACTCAACGGGTTCACAGGAAATTGAAACAGATAGAGAGAATGCAGCCCCGCTTGCCAAGGCACTCTACACTGCTATAGGCATTCCAATAACAATTTGTTGCTTCATCTATTCATTCCTTTATTGTACATATCCACGTGACAGGGACCGTGCTAAAATGGATGCATTAATAGACACAGAGTTGAAACGGATTGATGAAACAGGCAATCATCCTTCCGATGAAGAAAATGACATACTTCAATATTTTTCCGAATCTGATGAGCTTCACAAAAAAGAACTCACCATGATTGATATAGATTACAAGGTAGATGAAAGGCTTGACAACGACGAGAAAAGGCTTCTTCCAGATCAGTTGTAATCCTCTGAACTTTGCAGATTGTAGAGCAAATGCAACTAGGGTGTGCAAAAATCGAACCAAAAAAAGTGTTATTGATTTAATGGTTATCTAATGGTTTTATAAAAAAAATTATTGGGTTATCGGTTCGATATTGGTTTTTTAATATTGGGTTAACCGATAACCCATTAAGTATATAACAATTTACTATTTTAATTTTTTGTCATATATAAGTATCAAACAAAAAACATTAATATAATCATTATATTAGACTTTAACTATAAGGACCCTAAACAATTAACTCTGCTCTTTGCATTTATTCTTTAGGTTTTAGTATTACTTTAGTCTTTTAGGCAACGACTAGGGTTGTGAATTATGAGTATTCGATATACTTTTACTACACTAAGCAAAATTTTTGCACGCAACGAGTAATTAGATTTCTCTCTTTTTTTTATTTCGCGTTAAATTGTTGGACAAGTCATATATTTGTTTTGAAATTATTTTCTTATTGGTTAAACCGAAAACCAAACCAATAATACTTAAAACCGAATCGAACCGACCGATACACACCCAAAATGCAACGGTCAAGTATGTGCTTCTCATATTCCACTTAGACTAAGGGCCCGTTTGGCCATGCGATATGGTATCATGATATGGTATCATGATATGGAATCATGAGATGAAATTGAACGTTTGTTTGGACATGCGATATGGAATTTTTATGTTGTATATTTTCTCATAAACATAAAAATCTCATAAGTTGCAAAACTATTAAAATAGCCCCAATTTTTTATTCAATCTTATCAAATAAACAAAAAATTATAAAACCGCATAATAAATTATTACAAAGTTATTTGTTCTCCACTTAAGTAATTGTTTCATCTAACTTTAATTGAATAAAAAAATTGAACATAAATTGTAGTGTACTAGTCTTTAATATAATCCTCCCACATAATACGAATAATTTTCTCACGTTGAACTTGCATTTCTTGATCATGTGATCGAGAAGACGAACCAACATTGTTACTTTGAGCCATTTGTTGGTCAATATCCTCTGCAACTATATCTTCATGTTCATAGACCATAAATATTTCATCACTACTTTGGTATTCTCGCAAATAATTATGTAATACTGCACAAGCTATGACAATTTTCACTTATGTATCAATATCATAATGGTTCATGCCTTGTTTCAGTATTCTAAATCTATTTTTCCAAGCTCCAAAAGTCCGTTCAATCACATTGCGCAAAGATGAATGTCTATAATTAAATAGTTCTTTGGCATTTTGAGGCTCTCTTTCACTTCCTTGGTAATCTTGTAAATGATAGTGTAGTCCTTTGTATGGAGCTAAAAATCTTTTTGTGTTTCGGAAACCAGCATCAACAACATAATATTTATCTACAAAAAATATTTTATAAAGAATATATTACTAAAAGCATATCTGATGTAAATGAGACAACTTTGTGTAAATAAATAATATTTATTCTAAGGATGTAATTTAAAGTTACCATGTGGCGAAAATGGAAATTGTGACGTTGGTTCAACAAGTGCATTCTCAAGTACTTTACTATCATGTGCAGTACCTTCCCAACTAGCAGCAACAAAGTAAATCGCCTATCAAAATCACAAGCACATAAGACATTTTGTGATGTTCTTCCTTTGCGATTACGATATGTTTGTTGCACCGCTTTAGGAACCTACCCTTCTATATATGTTCCATCAATTGCACCAACACAATCCTACCAAATAAAAAATACATCAATATTAGTTTAGTGAACATAAAATAAATTGGAAGCATTATAGAATGCAATTCATAAAAATAATGTTTGTAAGAGTAATAAAAATAGTACTTCCAAGACAATGGAAAGTCATAAAATAAATATTATCTCTTTAAACAAAGTTGATAGGAAATATGTAACTAAATACTAATAACTTACATATAAAATATAAATGTTCACTTATTAAGGCCATAAAATAAATTTATTAATGTGATTGAACTTTTACCTTAAACCAAGGCCAAAATCGAGTATTATGTCAAATTTTGAAATGTACACCAGTCATATTTTTTGGTTGTATAAATGTTCGTGTCATCTTGCTAATTGCCTCGGCAACTATTTTAACATGCCGGTTAATTGTTTCAAGTGAATGTTGAAAAGTTTTACAATCGTGAGGTGTGAGTTAAAGTGACTATATGTTGGTGAGAATAATATATTTTTTGTCGTTGAGAATAATAAATTTAAAAAAGTAATGATGTGATTATAAATTTTATTTACATGTGAAACAAGTAGTTAGTAGATATAAATGTAGGGCTGTTTTAACAAAATATAAACTCATGGATCAATTATTGTATTAAAATATCTCAAATCATGATATGGAATCACCATATAATTCCATATCATGGTTTTTGGAGAATATGGTATCACCTCTCATGATATGGAATCATGAGATGGAATCAGCGTAAAATTGCATGTCCAAACGCTGATTCCATCTCACGATACCATATTATGATATGGTATCGCATGGCCAAACGCCTACTAAGAAAGTAAAAGTATGTGCTTCTCATATTCCACTTAGACTAAGGGCCCGTTTGGCCATATGATATGGTATCATGATATAGAATCATGATATGGTATTATGATATGGAATCATGAGATGAAATTGAAGGTTTGTTTGGACATGCGATATGGAATTTTTGTATTGTATATTTTCTTATAAACAAAAAAATCTCATAAGTTGTAAAACTATTAAAATAGCCCCAATTTTTTATTCAATCTAATCAAATAAATAAAAAATTATAAAATCGCATAATAAATTATTACAAAGTTATTTGTTCTCCACTTAAGTAATTGTTTTATCTAACTTTAATTTAATAAAAAAAATTGAACATAAATTGTAGTGTACTAGTCTTTAATATAATCCAGTCTTTAATATAATCCTCCCACATAGTACAAACAATTTCCTCACGTTGAACTTGCATTTTCGATCATGTGACCGAGAAGACGAACCAACATTGTTACTTTGAGCCATTTGTTGGTCAATATCATCCGCAGCTATATCTTCATGTTCATAGACCATAAATATTTCATCACTACTTTGGTATTTTCGCAAATAATTATGTAACACTGCACAAGCTATGACAATTTTCACTTGTGTATCAATATCATAAATGGTTCATACCTTGTTTCAGTATTCTAAATCTATTTTTCCAAGCTCCAAAAGTCCGTTCAATCACATTGCGCAGAGATGAATGCCTATAATTAAATAGTTCTTTGGCATTTTGAGGCTCTCTTTCACTTCCTCGATAATGCAAATGATAGCGTAGTCCTTTGTATGGAACTAAAAATCCTTTTGTGTTTCGGAAACCAGCATCAACAACATAATATGTATCTACCAAAAAACATTATATAAAGAATTATTAAAAGCATATGTGACGTAAATGAGATAGTTTTGTGTAAATAAATAATATTTATTCTAAGGATGTAATTTAAAGTTACCATGTGGCGGAAATATGTAACTAAATACTAATAACTTACACATAAAATATAAATGTGCACTTATTAAGGCCATAAAATAAATTTATTAATGTGATTGAAATTTTACCTTAAACCAAGGCCAAAATCGAGTATTATGTCGAATTTTAGAATATACACCAGTCATATTTTTTGGTTGTATAAATGTTGGTGCGATCTTACTAATTGCCTTGGCAACTATTTTAACATGCCGGTTAATTGTTTCAAGTGAATGTTGAAAAGTTTCACAATCGTGAGGTGTGAGTTAAAGTGACTATATCTTGGTGAGAATAATAAATTTTATGTCGGTGAGAATAATAAATTTTAAAAAGTAATGATGTGATTATAAATTTTATTTACATATGAAACAAATGGTTAGTAGATATGTGGGGTTGTTTTAACAAAATATAAACTAATGGATCAATTATTGTATTAAAATATCTCAAATCATGATATGGAATCACCATGTAATTTCATATCATGGTTTTTGGAGAATATGATATCACCTCTCATGATATGGAATCAGCATAAAATTGCATGTCCAAACGCTGATTCCATCTCACGATACCATATCGTGATATGGTATCGCATGGCCAAACGCCTACTAAGAAAGTGAAAATATGTGCTTCTCATATTCCACTTAGACTAAGAAAGTGAAAATTACTACTTCATCATAGTTGTGAACTTTGGCATTGTGACCAGCCAAATGTTCTTCAAAATCAAACTTCATCAACATGATATATTCGATGTGTTTGGTTTTATACTAGATAAGTTAGGATAAACGTTTAATCATAAGCATTCATATAAAGCAGAATTGATGTCCAGAGCCCCATGGTGTTAAAACGTCGAAACACAAAAAGACATGTATCACCTCGCATACATCGATCATTTCCTGTTCTGATAAGAAATTGGTAATTCTTCCACTTTTGGGATACATTTCATTGGATATCTGAAAAGTGGGGGACTATCTCTCATTCAAATGAACGAACCAGACTATGATACATGGATGAATCCAAACCAGAAAAATGTTGGTCCTTCTTACCTCGGCCTAAGAGAATCCTGGAATCACAGTCCCAACATGACTTCGACCGATATTGCCCGGACACAAACAAACTCGCTTTATAACCAGTCCGATCTCTCACCGGAGACAAATCACTTTCCAGCTGGAGCTCCCTCATAATGTCTCTCGGGCAGATCAATAGTCAACCTCGAGTCTAATGGGACTTCTCCAATCAACTCGAGCTCAGTTATGTGCTACTTAAAGTACTCCCTTCGTTTAAAAAAGATGACCTAATTATTTTTTTAGTCTGTTTAAAAACAAATGACCATATTCATTTTTTGGTAACACTTTAATTTCAGCTTTTTAAAATGTGTTTTGGTACATTTGACATAACTTTTATTAAATATATATTGCACAGCTCACGTATTGCATTGTACAGCTTGTTGGGTTTAGGATCTTTTTTTTCCCTTCCTATGTGGATAAATAAAAGTCTTATTAGGACTAGCCCACTTTAGCCCATAACCCAAAATATTATGTGGCATAT